ACATCCCAAAGTATAATTTTGGTGAAGCGAGAAGAACTCGTGATTGAGATAAGGTAAATAATTGGACAATAGGTTTACATGTCAAGGGATAGTTTTTGGCACTTATAATAATCGCGTGCCGGGCCAAGAGTCGATTTATGATCAACCAGATTTATCTATATAAACGCATAGTTATGCTGAAGAAGAGGCAGACAGTCGAGCGAGACGGAAGAGGCCAGACGGGAGAGACCGCGATCGGTCGGAACATCGTCGTCACGTGCAGGAGCACCCGCAGGCGACCATTACGGGTCGCGGTGCTACAGGCCAGACGGAAGAGAGAGACAGGAGAGACCGCGATCGGTCGGCACATCGTCGTTACATGCTTGAGCATCCACAGGCGACCGTTACGGGTCGCGGTGCTGCAAGCTAGACGGAAGAGAGAAAACTAACCCCTGTTCTGAGAAGTCTGTATGAAACGGGACTATTAGTCATAACCCATACTCCAGGCGATTTGATACGCGTTTATCACGCACAAACCCTCTCTCTGTTGGGAATTCGCTGAATGCATTTTGTCTTTTTTCTTTTTTTTCTCATTTATGTTAAATGTTTTTATTCTCCCTGTAATCTCTGTTCTGATGTTATCTTCTGATATAAAAGACGTTAATACTCCCCCCCATTGTTGTATGGCTTCTGCATATAGTATTTCTTGTTTTATTTTGCCACATTCTAAACTTCCTAGCGCCAACTCTGACAGCCGTGTCCACATCCCCAGTCGACCGTGAACGTATGGACAACACCCCGCTTACTGGATCTAAAAACTAACACAGCGTGGGCAGCGAGCAGGACTTGACCAGTTGACCGGTCGAAATAATCTACGTGTACTTAGGGAGCGTACGGCCAGTTACCCCTAAGTTCGGTTCGGACCGAGTGGACACCTCAACCCAAAGAGGAAGACGCCGGAGGTTGAGGGGCTGGGGACGAAGTGGTAGAGGGAAATAAAAGCTTACATACCTGATAAAGAGACAAGAAATTCAGGAAGTGTATGCTTATTGACATATCAGTATAATCTGAGAGAAACACTTCCTAATAAAGTATCGAGAAATTGTCCAAATATAAGGGCCTGGATATCGAGATTAACAGGATGTGGGGAATGAAAACTGAGACTGTAACAATAGTAATCGGAGCCCTGGGCCTCGTGAGAAAAGGAATGGACAATTTTATTAACAATGTCCTAGGTAACATCGAAAAGTTTCCCAGATGATCGCCCTACTAGAAATATACCATATACTAAGAAAAGTGTTATCATTTAAATGACAATTCTACTATAGAGCCTAAGAACTATAGTTTGGATCCAGCTCTACAGGATACAAAGCAGGAAATATAACATACACAAATGGTAATGATAATAAAAATAATAACAAAAAATTGTACTCACGAGTACATCTCACACATTACGAAGACGTTTATCTATGTAAAATGTGTGTGATCTTAGTTATTTATTTGTTTCATAAAAATGAACAGGGGAAAATGTTTCTGAACTTAGGTCTGTGGTTGGGACCCAGAAGGTAATGTGTATACAACAAATATCAAAGGGAATAATAATAATAATAATAATAATAAGTAACAGGCCGAGCAAAATACTTAGAAACGACACGAGATAAGTATATGAAGGCTGAACTCAATCATAAGTATACGAAGAATACTACCCTCATTAAACAAAGTCAAGAATTAGGAAAATCCTTAGATGTAACATATATTTAAGACGACAACTATTCTGAACCTCTCCCAACAGCAGCAAAGGGAATTATGTAACTGGCGAAAGCAGCTTATATGAAGACTCTAGAGTAAAAATGATCTAAAATCTTGTATGGAAATTGCCAAAAACGTCTAGAAGAACCAAACATCAATCTTCGTCAAATCTATCAATGGCTTAAAAACAGTTATCTTAAGGGTGAAACAGATGACATTATTATGGCTGCACAACGTCAACATCTTCCAACAAATGCCTACAAGGCTAAAATCAACAAAGATGGGTCTAATCCCGCGTGTCACTTATGCCATAAATTTGAATAAACTGTTGACTAAATAGTATCTTGGTGCCCAATCCTTGCTGAGAAAGAATACCTTGCTAGTCACGACAGTCTAGGACAATATATCGATTGGGATATCTGCTCGAAATATAGTATTGAATTACTGGATACATGTTACAAACATCTTCTGAATGATGCCAGAAATGGATTGACTACGCTGTAGAAATTCCGAATCGTCACAGTCAGGAAAACTGATGAAAATAGACCAGACCTAGTCATAAAAGATTTCATAAAAAAGACCTCATCTCAAATATGCAAAAAATAACTTTCCTACAGAACCCTTTTTACTCATAGAACCCAGAGAGGGCATGGTAATCAAGCACTTAAAGTTATTCTCTGGCAAGATTATACCATAAATAATAATAATAATAATAATAACAATAATAATAATAATAATAATTGAAGGGATTCCTGGTAGCGCATGCCTTAAAGAAATACAAAATATTTTCTCCCAGGTACAGCCCGCACATTACAAAGGGCTTTATCTATATAAAATATGTGCGTGTGTGTGTGTTTTAAATTGCTCAGTGAAAAACGTCTTGATACCATTTCTGACCTTAGTTCTATGGTCGGGATCTGTAAAGAAATGAGTACACACCAGAAATAATATTATGATAGTTTTGGATTACGTAGAACAGATCAACCGAGGCAAAACTGTAATCTTCAGTGGGTGAGGGTTGGAGATAAAATTAGCTTAAAGGGAGCCTTATGTTCGCATATAAAACACAGTGGGAGTTTAAGTGCATCTTATATGCCATTAGACACGCTAATAATAAAAGGAAAAATAGACAGGTAAATTATTCAGAAAAACTCCAGGAATAAAATTAACTGTTGAACATCACCATCAGAGTTGTTTTGATTTAAAGGCAGAATTAATTCAAATCAGTGTATATTTAATCTTGAACCTGACTTCTCGTTTCCGAACATATCCACCTGCCCAGGCCCATTTGTGTTTCTTCAATATCCACAGGGTCAACCTATATTTTACAGTACAACTATGCTGAACGGACATTAGTTTTAGTCCAATTAAAAAAGAAAACAGAATAAATGGTTATCAGAAAGAATAACATCTTAAGATGCGAACTAGTAACTAGAGACACTAAAATCAAGCGACAAACAAAAATCCTGAAGATGCCTTGCAGAAGCTAAGCAAAGTAAGAGTCAGGAAAAATGCGTTAAAACAACTGAACTGTTATGTAATAACATTCCTCTTATATGGTAACGGATGTTGGAAATCACCTTACCGATGGAGATGAAACTTGAGGCAACAGAAATATGGTTTTACAGAAAGATATTGAGAATCCCATGAACGGAAGATGGAAGAAACGAAGAAGTTTTAAGAAAAAAAACCAAAAAAAAAAACCACTGAAACTTAGTTCCAGGAAGAGACAGTTGAAATTTCTGGGTTACATGATGAGGAAAGAGAAGACTGGATGATTTGAAACACACAGAAAATATTGAAGGCGAGAGCGATAAAGGAAAACAGCGAGTAAGCTACCAAAGAATTTTGGATGACAGAACAGAGAAGAGGAGATGGTAAAAAGACAAATCTTAGTAAGAGCTGAAAATTTGAAGATATAAGATATATCCTGCCAGGGTCACATACGGATTTGCATTCAGATTTTTTATTCTCCTACATCAGTTAACCAGCCACACCTACAGTGCCCAGTCTGTTCTTAACCCATAGATGTGATGCTGAACGCACACTTCAAAATGTATTTTATTATACAAACAAAATAGATCGACAGAAACATGTTTAACAGGTTAGAAAAAAAGCGGTAAATAGATTTAAACAGACAATCTCTTTAATATACTCAAATATTCTCTTGATTTGACGCCATCATACTCCCAGTTCTGAGAATCTCTGAGACATTTTTAACTCGAACAAAAGTGCATAGCCTTGACATGCTCGACTTTCAATAAGATACCTAATGAGTCTTATCTTCGAGATAATTCTAAATATAACCTTCTGATCTTCTGGAGAAACCCGCAAATATTTCACTAACTACTCTGCGTAGGTGTTGTCTTTGAAATAAATAGACATTAATTCTTCCAATCCAATTCGAATAAACCGTTTAGCTATTCACATCGATATCTTTAGACCAATGGTCCTGACATATATCGATTCTTCGATCTTGTATCATTGGTAACAATCAGAAGAAGACATTTCTAGAGGCATAATATGATGAATATTAATTTTATTAATACAAAATCAAAGAAAACGAGTCTAGCGTATGACACAAAAAATATTAAACGATAAGATGCAATAAATTGTCATTTTTATATCGGATATATGAATTAATATAAAGCGATAAATAAATCCGATATCAATAACAGGAAGCGTGTCTCTTCTTTGATGTGTCGTGTAACTTCCGAACTTTGACGATAATATCTCTCCACAACACACATTTTGGAGCTCTGTGCAATACTTATGCTATTTATATAGCTGGCAGTATGTGTTCTAATATCAGTTTACACAACTTCGTTTGGTAGCTTACTCACTTCTCTTCTTTGTCACCAGTTTTCTGTGAGTGTCAAATTAGCCAATCACTATTTCCTCATTACTTGAGCCAGAAATTTCACCTTCTGATACTAAGTAAAAGTGTCCTCTTTGCTACCATTTCCCTTAAAACATTTTCGTAGCTCACCTCTTACTTTCATGATATTCTCAGCATCCTTCTGTAGAACTACATCTTTGCTAACACATGTCTCATGCTCATTCTCCGAGGAAAGTGTTCTGCATATTTTTCCATCGTTTCCTTTTTCTTAAATGTATTTTTTTGTTTGGAACGTATATTTTGATATTATAACGCTACTTCGAATTTCGGTACCACCTTTTCCGTCGTCTGTTAAAGCACTACCGAAATAGTCCGAATTTCTTTGTTTGATTTATTTTCACGTCTCCAATTCATAGCACGCAGCTTCAGGCTCACGGCCATATCACGTTGAAACACCGGTTTCCGTACGATCATCGAAGTTAGGCAACATCGAGCCTGGTTAATATCTAGATGGGTGACCGCTTGGAAATACCAGGTGCTGTAAGCTTCGATGTTCGGCTAGTGTAATGAACGATGTCTCGGAAATGTCAATCAGAGGAGCAGAGTTCGAATTCACATTGCTTCCATTATATTCACTTTCACGCAAATATCCTTTTGAAATTTAGGAATCCAACTATCCCCCTCCCAGAAGTAGGTTCTCTAGCAAGGTTTGTATCACGAAACCATTATTATTTATCTCTCCCCCCCCACTAAAAAACAAAAACAAAAAAAACTTGCCGTCTAAAACCATTTTCTGGTTAGAAATAACCTGCAATGAAAAATAAGTATTGCACAGAGCTACAAAATGTGTGGTGTGGAGAGATATTATCGCCAAAGATCGGAAGTTACACGACAATTAAAGGAAGACACACATTTCCTGTTATTGATATCGGATTTATTTATCGCTTTATATTAATTCATATATCCGATATAAAAATGACAATTTATTGCATCTCATCATTTAATATTTTTTGTCATACGCTAGACTCGTTTTCTTTGATTTTGTATTAATAAAATTAATATTCATCATATTATGCCTCTAGAAATGTCTTCTTCTGATTGTTACCAATGATACAAGATCGAAGAATCGATATATGTCAGGACCATTGGTCTAAAGATATCGATGTGAATAGCTAAACGGTTTATTCGAATTGGATTGGAAGAATTAATGTCTATTTATTTCAAAGACAACACCTACGCAGAGTAGTTAGTGAAATATTTGCGGGTTTCTCCAGAAGATCAGAAGGTTATATTTAGAATTATCTCGAAGATAAGACTCATTAGGTATCTTATTGAAAGTCGAGCATGTCAAGGCTATGCACTTTTGTTCGAGTTAAAAATGTCTCAGAGATTCTCAGAACTGGGAGTATGATGGCGTCAAATCAAGAGAATATTTGAGTATATTTTATTAAAGAGATTGTCTGTTTACATCTATTTACCGCTCTTTTTTTCTAACCTGTTAAACATGTTTCTGTCGATCTATTTTGTTTGTATAATAAAATATATTTTGAAGTGTGCGTTCAGCATCATATCTATGGATTAAGAACAGACTGGACACTGTAGGTGTGGCTGGTTAACTGATGTAGGAGAATAAAAAATCTGAATGCAAATCCGTATGTGACCCTGGCAGGATATATCTTATATCTTCAAATTTTCAGCTCTTACTAAGATTTGTCTTTTTACCATCTCCTCTTCTCTGTTCTGTCATCCAAAATTCTTAGGTAGCTTTTCTGCAATATAAGCCGTAGAATAGGAATCAATCAATTAATCTAATGCGTTACCTATCTTTTCAACATCAGTGGTATATGCTTTTATCTATCTACTTTATTACTTTTCAAAGATTTACTGCAATTTCTTTTGTGTTTGCCACCAACACGGTGCCATCGGCGTATCTTATATTGTTAAGATTTGCCTCGCTAATATTAAATCCCGGATGTGTAGAACAATCATACGGTCAAGATAAACACTCAGTTGTGGTTCAAGCTGAGTGAATAATAACTCAACCTTAAGAGAGCTATTTATGGTGCCATGGAGCATCTCATTGTGCTAAAGTGGGATAGTCCATTGCTTGGGCTGTGATTGGCTGCTGGTACATGAGTGGAGGTATTTCTGTATAAATACCAACTTGATTCATCAGTTAGTTTGCAGGGTTTGTATTGAGTTACAACCTGCTTTATTTTTAGTCTGCCAGCTGGACGCTAGATGGGACCCTTACGCCGGTAAGTGCTGTTTATTGTATTGTTATTCTACATCTCCTTCCCCCTTCTCATTCTCTTTGGATTGTTTCTTTGCAAAGGTTAAATAAATCCGACGAGAAGAGTGACCCTTATATCCCTTTCTGTTTTTGTGTAATTGCTCGATTCGTTTCTTATCCGTATGCAGTGGCTGTATGTTGTAGATTAATTTGATCTCTCACCAAAATTAGTCAAGTTTTTCTGGTAGTTCAAATAGATGTTTGGGTCGTGCGTTATCATATGTCTTTGCTGAAACATGGATAGACATCCTTTTGCATCGTATTACTCATTCATATTACATTTCTTGTCTCAGTATCTTTAAAGTAACCACACGTCTTATCCTATTTCCGGTCTAATTCATAATGATGTGTAAATAGTCTAATTCGAAAAATGTGCAATATATTTAAAAATCTAACTCAACAAACAGGATGAGGGTTAGCGTGATCAAAGGACCAAAGAATTAAAGGATCATCTCACATTCCCTAACAAGATATAATTAGCAAATGAACAATAGCATGTCGGGGAAATACGGGGCAACAAACTGGTGTAGATTCAGTCAATAACCTCGTATAGAAAGCTACAAATAAGATATTATCTGAGTAGAGATGCAAAAATAGTTCATTCTGCTTTTCGATTGAATAGTATTTATGTGATATGGATTGCGTTATTGGCCAAATGAAATTAAAAGAAAATTTCTGTATTGAAACCTTTTTTAACTTATCTGACCCAAGAATTTAGAAGGAGATTTGAAAAAAATGATTTCAGTTATTCGACAGAGAAAACTTGATAGAAAAAAAAATCCCTTTCAGATGATTTGACAAAAAAGATTTTATTTGGTTTGACCCAGCTGATTCGACAGAAAAAAACCCAAAACTTTTCAGTGTTTCGATCAATTTGATTTGACTAAAATGAACTTTTCTCTTACTCGACATTGATGATTTGACCAAAATAACCGTTTTGGTTTATTCAATAGGGATCATTTGACAAAAAGAAAACCTTTCCTGTGTTCAACCCAGATGAAATGACAGAAAGAAACCTTGTACTAATAGATAGAAAGATAGATAGATAGATAGATTGTGTGGGCTGCGTTTTTGGAGAAACAACCTTTTTAGAAATGATGCTAAATTAGTTATATTAACGGTAAATGATTAAATTAAAGTTTCATAATTTTCTCTTTGATGAGGAAATATTCGAGCAAAATGGAGAAACCCTACCGAATTCAGAAATGCACTTCTGCGAGTCTCGTAAAAAATTGTTCTTTCACTTCAATTTCCCACAATTACGTAAAGTGTTGTGAAAGTAAAAACAAAATTTTGATGATACTTACCGAAAGTTTGTTGGAGAAATAAAATATTTTCTTTGAATTGAAATTAAAATCTGAAAATAACAAGAAAATTGATTGAGAAAATTATCCACAAACTAATTTTCGTAGTTTTTATTTTAATCGCAAGTAACTGCGGTATTTCTCTCGATAAAAACAAAAACATGATCAGCTGCATTGTTATGCATGCATGTATGTATGTATGTATGTATGTATGTATATCTATCTATCTATCTATCTATCTATCTATCTATCTATCTATATATATATATATATATATATATATATATATATATATATATATAGATAGATAGATAGATATATAAACACACACACATATATATACATTTATATATACATATTTACATATATAATAAAGTAAAGGACAAATAGGAAGCGTATGTCAAACTGACATGATTCAAATTTGTTAGATCTTCGTCAGAGATTGACAGAAAATAGACTAAGAGACAGATACTCTGGTATTTTCAATTTTTGGGGTCAGTTCACATGAGTCAAAGAAACCACTTGAAGATTGTTTATGGCACATGTATCACAGTATGTGCGTCAGTTTAAAATTTCCAAAAAATGTTGTTCTGAACAATTGTACACCCCTATAATCAAATTATATGTGGGAGTAATCTGGATGTTTTTTTCTAGAAACGATGGGAGAGTCTACTGTTCGTGCATATATATATATATATATATATATAATATTATTTATTCAAAAAATTATAAAATAAACATGTTATATCATCACTACAAAATAGCCATTTGTTTCAACAGTTCTGGTGTCTTATCATGTGATGGTGTTGAATGCAAAATAAAGTGTTTAAATGGTTCAAATCAATCAAACATAAAACATTAAGAATAGTATATGTTGGTTATTGGAAGAAAACATTAAGAATAGTATTTGTTGGTTATTGGAATTTATTCCATACACACCAATCCTATACATGGAAATTTATATATATATATATATATATATATATATATATATATATAGATAGATATAGATATACTGTTCGGACTATTCTCCATATCTTTGTTGTAATATTCACGATGTTGCTACCGTTGTACTCTCCGGCCTTCTTCATGAGATTGGAATTTTGAAACGAATCTTTTATTTCATCAACCATGATAGATTGATCTAGTTCCACATGTCATGCCTCTTCCGGATATCTCACTTTTAACTTAACACTCCAAGTTTTATTTTGTTCACGGGTATAGAACTTACAATTCTTACCCAGCGGAATTGGTTGAATCAAGTGGCTTGACTCAAGAATAGGGGAACAATAATCTTAAAGTGTTGAGTTAAACGAGAGATTGATCCTGATATATATATATATATATATATATATATATATATATATATATAGATAGATAGATAACTAGACTCGTTTGAAAAAACCTCGAATTTTTGATTTGCTAATCAAATCAATCTCGAGGAAAAAAAAAAGGTTTTAAAAAAGAAAGAGCTACAAACATGGACTTCTGCCGACAAAAAAAATCGCACAGATGCAGGTCTGAAGCCCAAAGAAAAAACCCCGATACGAGTAAACAACTAACTAACAAAAGCGCTCAATACAACCGTAGAGCAGACCTAATTAGAAATTAGCCATAGCTTTATATGATCAACCCAACCAACTATTAAACTCTAAAACTGAAATTCTCAATGTATGTAGACATAAAAAATCTTGGCTAATAAATTAGACGTTTTCCTGTTATTGACTTTCCACTGAGGTTTTTTTTTTTTTTTTTGAATAAATATCCCCCACTTAGGTTGTTTTTGTTTTTTGGTGTTTTTTTTTATTTTTGTCACGTGGTATGATTTTAGCTATCACCTATAAATATGTGTTTCTCTTTCCCTCGTTAGCCAAACTTTCCCTGACGATCCGTTTAGGTGAAACCTAGGTAGGTTTGTCTGGCTCACTAGGTGTATCTATCTATATAT